AAAAAGGCTCAGGAAGGTAACTCCCTAAGATACACATCTGGTCACTGGCAGGCCAAACATTTAAAGCCGGGTCTTACGAGCTTTAGGGCACATCCAATTTAGTGACTAAAATGACTAAGCATTTTCTTGTGTTCAGCCCCTGGGTGGTATGAGGAGCTGGCTGGTGGCTGTGGTTATAGGTCCCCGGGCCACTGCCAAGGAGAACTCACTCTGTGCTGAATAAGGAAAAAATTCTTTCCTCAAAATGTACGATCTAGTTGGGTACCAATAGACCTGATCATAAAAACAAAGCTAACCAGACACGGTAGCCCGTGACAAAAGCTCAAGATGTGATCCAGATGAGAAGCTCCAGAGGATTTCTGAGAGGCCAACTGTCGTGACAGAATGAATGTAGCTAAGTCTGACTACTGAGGAAGGAGTGAGAAAGGTCTTCCAAGCTAATTAAAAAATATGCGTAAATGTTAGACTATTACTATATTAGGAATCTTCTGAAAATAATAAAATGCCTGTTTAACTGATTAGAACATTTGTGTTAGAGACTGGGGCGGGGGGAATGGGTGTTGAGAAAAATAGGCTGGGTCCAAGCCTCTTACGTTCTCCTTAAAAAAAAAAAAATTTTTTTCCCTTTCCCTTAAACACTACAAATTTTTGATATTTTCAGGAGCACTATCTAAGAATTACCAGTAGAGGGTATGATTACCCTGAGAGTCTATTTTTAGAATTACATAAAAATATTAATTCACCTGGTTCCAACAGAAATCATCACTTCCCTTCAATCTGAAAGGTTTCTCCAAGCTTTTAGAAGAACTATGATACCCTCACAAGTACAAGCTAGGCTGCTAGATAGAATAAATAATTATCAAGGGACTAATGGCTATTAGTTTATCTTTCTCCTTACCTATATCAAATCAAAAATGCTCTACTGGCCTTGAAAAAACAAAAAGACTGGTATAATCTCACTATACATACTTTACTTTGGGTATTGAGGATAAAGAGCTTGTCATCTGGCTCCAGTAGTTTGCACGCATAAGCTATGTTGACAGCTGTCTCCTGCTTGTCACCCGTCAGCATCCAGATCTTGATGCCGGCTTTGTGAAGGGCTTCTATAGACTCAGGGACCCCCTCCTGCAGACGGTCTTCAATGCCAGTAGCACCTAAAAAATAACCAAAGTGCAATACAGCTTCTAAGAAACAAAAGCCAGCTGAAGCTCACCTAGGCTATAATCGAATCATATCTGTTAGCCAAGCAATCCTTCTCTAGTAGCTTCCAAGGATCCAAAGGAAGTGTGAAGACCCAGACCAACATCATACATGAGGTAATATTTGGGAAGGAAACCTTAGGAATCAATGTGTTTATCAAACTCACTTGTTCTTCTTTTGGCTAGCTTTCTTCTCAGTAAATTGAAGGGGGTGGGGTGTTTCAGTTGCTTATATAATCTGCTCTATGATTTTATAATTCTGTGATACTCTCAACAGTAAGGGCAGGATTTTAAAGAATGCTCTCGTCAGTGAGACATAAATTTTTAATGATCTTTCATAGTGAACTCAATGATTCCCTTTTCTGAAATAATTGGGGCCAGATAAGTTTTGGAATTCAAAAGTTTTGCAGACTTGAAAAAGGTAACATGGTCCTATTTTGTAATATCTGATAATTAAGTATATTAACATTTCTGTAGTAAAAGATATAAATGTTCACACTAATTAGGATAATAAAGGCTTCCAATAGTCATATCAAATCAGGCCTGATTTTGCTGCCAAACAACTTTTGGCAATTGGCCCACAGAGCATTTTAGAGTTTGAAATTTCAGATGAGAAAACGTGGACCCTTGGTACCTGCACTGTCACAGAGAAAAGACTTAGCGGTGGGCATCATTACTCCATTGGCTAGGTACTAAGTGAGGTCATTGGTTTTCTGTGAACCAGAGGAATCGGGCTCAGATTCTGGTCCCTTGGTGTGTTAGTGCTTCCATTAGAAACTAGAGTTCCAGACCCTATGGCAGTGGTTCTCAACTCTGGCTGCCACTTAGAATTATTTGGGGAGCTTTTAAAAATTCAAACATACAAGCCACACAACAGACCAATTGAATCAGAATCCCTGGAAATGGGATTTTTTAAAGTGCTCTGGATGATTTCAAGATACAACTCAGTCTAAGACAAGAGATGTAAGTCGTGCAACCTTTAGTTGAAATCGGAAAGTAAGAGAGAGAAATATATTTCCTTAGTCCATTTGCAGGTACAGAATAAAGAACACAGGCCTACAGCCAGGTAGACCTGACTGAGTTTCTTCCTAGCTTTGTAAGTTACTAGTATGTGACTCTGAACAAGTCATTGAACTGCTCTGTGCCCTAAGCATCTTCCAAATAAAGTGAAGATTTGTTGTGCAGATTCAAAAAGACAACATATATTAAGTAACTTATCTAGTGCCTGGTGAGAAACTTTAGCTTTCTTCTCTTGAACCTGGATATTTATTTGACTTTGTACTGCATGTTTAGTGTTGTGTTTTTAAATGACCTTCTTAAGAATGATCAACCCAATCCCACCACAAATGAAGTCTAGTTCACTGCTCTGGGAAACAGAATGGAAAGGATTAGAAGCTGGGTAGGAATCAGACTGGACAGGATAGGCAGAATCACATATATCTATTAGATTAAAGTGGGAAAAAAAAGCACTGGTGACTAACTTATTTAGAGATGTCGAGTGTTTTTCAAAATTCTCCATTCAGAAAATACAACACAGTCTATTTACCAAGTAAAGTTAGTTTGTTCTCCAACCGCATGGCAGATTCAAGTAATAATTCTTCCCTGTTGTCAATGCTGGTTTCAGCTAAAAAATGATTCCTCAGCCATTCTGCATATTCAGTGTCACTCATGACCTATGGAGTGAAAAAAAGAGCTAAGAGGCAGGCCATATCAAGGGGGAGATATCAAGCCATCAATTTGTTTTAGGTATTCCTTTCTCTGGGCACACTCATGACAGGTCTTTATCCTCACATGCCTGGTCACAAGCTTCCTGAATTCTGTGACCAGACTAGTGTAACACTGATGATGGATGGGCCCTATAGCTCAGTATCTCCAGGAAATTCTAGGCACCATATATGATGAAAGTGGGTTAATTATACCAGAAAATATGCAGTTGGGAGAAGTCTCCACTTAGTTAAATTCGGGGTGATTCTAATGCTGTGGTTGAGAAAGTGGTATCAGAATTGTTCAGGCTGAGGTATTTTGTAGGCAGCAGCACCTCTGATATCTTTTGATGGTTGGTTTATGAGGTTACTCATTTGTAAAAGTAAAAAGAGAGAGGGGGCCACACTGGGGTGTGGCAAAAAAACTCTTGCTCCAAATAAAAACTAAGGTAATTTCCTGGAGAAAGAACCAATGATACATTTTCCTTTGTCTTCAGGTTGCCACAGAGGGATAAATCTATGTATGTCAGTTCTTATAAAGCAGAATGTAGTACAGGGGGTGAGGTACTTTCTACCTGTTCACACATAGTTGTAAGGATGGAGAGTGCAATATCAAAAGAGACCCTCTGCCTTTTCAGTGAAATGATCCTGCTCCTGATAAAAATGTAGCCCAATAGATGTCAGATTCCCTTAAATCAAATTACCTTGTGGGTAAGAATGAGTAGTGTGCTAGCAGCCTTACCTTCTTTGCTATACATAAAGTGCGTAGGCCTTGTTTGGCATAGTCATCCAAGTGTTCCTGGGTTTTCTCCCTTATTATCATTTGTTGTTTTTCCTGACTTGCTCCATCTAAAATAATTAACAAAACACAAGTGTTCCCACCAGTCTACCCAATTACAGACATATTTCTTTAAAAACAATGATAGCTTAACCCACAACGAACAAAAGGCCTTTAGGTTTTAAAACCCAAATGTGCATTTATAAAAGGGACTCTCAGAATAAAACTTTCCCTGTTCCTTTCTCTCTGGGGAGAGAAAAAGACCAAGAACTAAATACAACACCATCCCCACACCATCTGCAATAAGAGTAACTTATAATAACATTAGCAGTCATTCACGGAACACTTACTATTTGCTGGGCACTGGGTAAAGGCTGTACATGTGTTATATATGGTATGACATTAAATGTTTGAGGAACCCATAAAGAAGGTACTATAATTCCCATTTACTGAAGACTTAGGCAAAGAACAGTTAGGTAACTTCATTAAGACATAGCTAATGGCAGAGGCTGGATTTGAACCCAAGTCTGGGTCACCCCAAAACTTATATGCTTTCTCACCAAATCCTAAGCAGTTTCCCTCGCTCCACCAAGTGTGAGTGACTCCCACATATCTGGCTTGTTGGCTTTCATAAAACCATCGAGAGTGGTCTTTTAATCTGAGCCCTTCATACCACTACCCTCTCAGTTCTGTACGCACCTACCTGGGGAAACCATGGAAAGCAATTCCATAATAACAGAATCAGCACCCTTGGTATACACCACGACTTGGTTGGAAAGGGGGTGCCGGACCACAACAGACATTCTTTTTCTTATTGAGTCGAAGGGCAGGATGTGTAGGAGTTGAAATGTTAAGGGTCCCAAAGCAGCGAAGTCCACCACGACCTGCTCTGGTGTCCGGGACTGTAAAGTGCATTGGTAAGCCCTGGCAGCATATACCAAAGCCGCTTCATCTGGGCTCTCAGCCTCATAACACAGGTTAGTGGCCAACGGCTGTCCAGGGAGGGAATCTGCCTTGCCATTTGTGACGCCTGCATCACCGTTTTGTTTCTCTGTTTCTGTTTGGCAAGCTGAGTTACCAGAACCTTGTTGGCTCTCTCCTGTCTGTGAGACCTCTTCCTCCACAGGTGAAGCCAGTTTAATTCGACTGAAGAGAGAGAGTCTGCTCACAAAGGTATTGGGGACCCCAGAAGATGGCTCTTTCCCACCGGCAAGAGATGGTGAACTTGATCTTCGGACAGATAATCGCTGGAAGAGGTTTTTAATCTCTTCCAAAGACTTAGTGGGCATTCCACTCAGTGAAGAGAGTCTAATCTATGAAAGAATTTGGGAAGGTCTCATTAATACAATCAAAAACCATTTATAACAACTTTGAAGTCAAACTGGGAAAAAATTAGATATGAAGAGTTACACTCCCTTAAATAGCTAGCAGACTGCTCCATACTTAAACTGCCTTAGAAAACATTAATAAAAATAAAGATAGCCATAATGAAAAATATGTGCTAATGTTGATGGCATTACAAATTACAACCATTTAGGAAGATATTTGACAACTGATAGCGAAAGACATAAAATGCTAATATTGTTAGCAGTGCACGTACTTGTGGCAATTTTTCCTCATGAACTAATTTAAAATATAGAAAATCCATAATCTTCATTATATATATCCTGGCAATAACAATTTAAAAATTATAAGCAAATTAAATAATCAATAGCATATTAGATTATGAAGACCAATTAATTGGATACTAAAATTTTCTCATTCAGAAATGCCCAAAGAATTTTTCCCTAAAGATTATTAATTTTATGATAGTTTGAGGAACTCAGGATGGTCGATTTTCAAACTTACTAGCAACACAGAAATGAAAAGCACAGCTCAATCACAGATGAGCTTTCTGTATTCCACGTGAATTCTGATTAGTTCTTTATTCACTGCCTATCATTACCTAGAAATATGAAACTTAGGCTCTTACATGTCTACAGAGATTTTATTTTAGGCCATAAAATATTATATTCTTTGGGGACAAGGCATCAATATTTCTTAAGCAGAAAACACCAAAAAATGCCTACTTCGGAAATAGATGTGCATGAAGAAGTATTATATTGGGAGAAAACAACACCTAGCGATTTATTCTCTAATTACATAATTGCTTTTCAAAGGGAAACTTTCTAGTTGAAACCTTATAGAAATGTAGTTTCTGATCAAATGAAAGCTTAATTAGAAATGTTATTTTTATGTTAAAGCTGACCACCTCTGAAATTGCCAAAAAAAAAATGATCTAATGGAAAATTAAAATTTAATTGGATTGTGTTGCAAAGTGGATTTTCAGTGAATGTGTGCAAGAGGGGAGGTAGTTATACACAAGAAAGCCAGCACAGCAAGAGGTGAATCACCAATCTTTACATCAAGT